CCCCGCTCGGCTCGGACATCCTTTGTGAATGGCCCCTAGTAAATCCATAGTATATCCAAAGTATGGAAATTGCAATCAGTATGAAAATTGGATTTCCATACTATTTTCAACTCTACGATCCATATTATTTCCATAGTAAGGATTTTGAAAAAAATTTCCGGTGGACAGGTCACGTCAGCAGAGACCCTAGACCGGTAACTTCAAGTCGTATTTTGAGGTCAATTGTTAGAAGTTAGGACAATTTGTGCATTAAAATTGAAGAATGAATTGACTAAAAACTTGTCGAACCTTCGGAAACTTGTAGAACTTATTTTCAAATGCGAATTGAAGTTTCTCGTTTGTGGTTACCGGTCTGCCGTAAACGTCAATCTTAACCTCCCTATTTTTCATGCTACAGTTTTAATGAATAAATTGCCCTAACTTTGAACAGCTAACAGTTTGATATTAATATTAACACGCTTTGATATTTGCCATTCACGGTTACCAATCTGTCCGTGTTGTCGTCGCTCTTGCTTAAGTTTTCTGATAATTATTTCATTATTTAGAAAAGATCAACAGAAGAATTGCAAGTGAATAAAAGACAAGTTTCTCCAGTTTTTACACCTGTGTCTGCAGAACCCGTAGCAGTGCCGCCCATAAGGTCAGGGTTTCTTAACGTCATCTGCTATTCTAGCGTGAATGCGAGTCTCATGTACTATTCTAACCTGAATATACGAGTACATCAAGGTAAACATGTTTAAATAAATCTCACTATATTTCTACAGGTATCCCGTTCCTCCAGCTGATGCGTATCCATTCGGAGCTGGGTAAGTCAGACCCATTGAACTATAAATAAACTGGAAGGCTAACTCAGGGGGGGAAATTGAAGCCAGTGCATTTTAGTTTTTCTGAGTTATGAGCAGAAATACTCAACACTGAACGTTGGGCTATATATCAAATTGAAGCTATTGAAAAACTCTATTTGGTGTAGAAATTTCAAGACTTTAGCTGAAAGGGAAATATTGAAAAACTACAAACATAATTACCGATAATTTGCCGTTTTGCAGTTGTTTTTGTATTTTTTAAAAATTTTTCTTTTCGCTGAAGTCTTGTAATTTCCACACCGAATAGCAATTTTCAATAGCTTCAATTTGATATATAGGCCGACGTTTGGGGTCAAGTATTTCTGCTCATAACTCAGAAAAACTATTTTGGCTTCATCAAATCATAGGCCTTCATCATAGCAGTTAGCCTTCCAGTTTATTTATAGTTCAATGGTCAGACCTGGATTAAGACGGTTACAGACGAACAAGTTTTCTATGACAAGTTTTTTTATGACAAGTTTTATTTGCTCGTCAGTTTTATTTCCTGGTGTAAACGTGTCAGAAAAAGGTGTTTATCGCCTTGACCCATACAGACGAACAAAATTTGTTCTTTGACAATTTTTTTCTATGACAAGTGCACTTGCTCAAAAGCTAGCAGGGTCAGGGAAAAGCTGTTTTTAGGATTTACTAAGCACAAGCTACACATATTACTTAAACGTATTTATTTTCTTTCAGAATCACGTGGCCTTCAGCGCGGATTCCTTCAAACGCTGGTCACCCTCCTTTTGTATGGAGTCGTTCGACCCTCCCTGGAATGCCTTTTGTGTGGAATCGTTCAAACCTCCCTGGAATGCCTATGCTAGTACCTAGGGGAATAATGGGTGGTATGGGGGGTTTTGGTGGCGGTTTAGGTGGGGGTATGATGGGGCTAGGAGGGGGTATGGGTGGCGGGGGAATGGGTGGTCTAGGAGCACTTTTGGGTGGAGGGGGTCTCGGAGGTGCAGGTCTCGGAGCTCCTGGACTTGGAGGCGGAATGCCTGGAGGCGGAATGCCGGGACTTAGTGCTGGTGGTCTTGGTGCCGGTGGGTTAGGAGGGGGCCTAGGGGGAGGTTTAGGAGCATTGCTAGGTGGTGGAGGAGGAGGTGGTGGTGGAGGTGGTATGGAGATGCCAGGGGGTATGGGTGGAGCTCAAGGAGGGCTTGGTGCTCTTGGAGGAGGAGCAATGATGGATCAAGGAGGATTATCTGGGTTCTCTGGTGGGGCAAGTGGTGGAGATCCCGCACTGACCGCCGCACTACCTGGAGCGACATCTATGCCAGGTATGTAAAGATATGAACGCTAGATACATAGGAACTTAATGACAACTTGCATGTTAGACTCATTTTTGATCTAGGCAAAAAAGTATATACCCTTACAATTGCAAAATTTGGTTACGAAATGTTGTAAAATGCGGAAAATTTTGTATATGTTTGCATTACGTGCGGAAATTACCATTTTTGAGCCGAAAATGGTGACAATTTCCGCACGTTATACAAACATATAGAAAATTTGCAAACTTTGCAAGGCTATATTTTCCAAGCTTCATATAATTTCGCAACCAAATTTTGCAATTTTACTAATTTCATTATGTTCTTTTTAGCTGTGGTGTTTGATTCCATTCTCTTTCCTTAGATTAAAATGTAGTCTAACATGCAAGTTGTCCATTCTCTTTTCAGGTATGGGTGGCGTACAAAAGAAGTCAGGCGTCCCAGAGAAAAAAGACAAAAATGCGAAGGCCACGAAGAAATCTCATAAATCAAAGTCTAAAAGTTCTAAACATTAAATTGTGTTAGACAACTCACCATGTATGAGAATACAGCATACAGCAATGACTCTGTATTTCAACTTTGAAAGGAAACTTTCCATGAGTAGTTCTCAAGTTGCAGTTACCTTGAGAAAATGAGAGATGAAGTTAACAGCATGACTATAATTTCTACGTTATGTGCACAACATAGATTTGATATTATTGTAAGTGTGTTACGTCCTGTAAAATAGAAAATCTATACGTTATTCCGAGTGCATTCGTAACAAATAGAAAAACTCTGTTTACCTAACTTTCACCTCCCGGCTCCGTGCCATACTTTGGTCAATTCCTAAACACCTCCTGTCCCAGTTAAACAAGTTATTAAAGTTGAGGATACCCGTCAACAAACGTTCGTTTGTCAAGACGAGTAAAACCAACCTTAAATCTCATTCTATCCAGTCTCAATAGACAAGAATATCTTCTTGAATGATGTGATTTCTTGCACTTCACTTGGTGGAATTATTATTAGAATGTTAGGGTTTGTAATCCAAGTGATTATATACATTTTAAGACCTGACCAGGAACGACTGGGAAAAATGCAGCACAAGGTCCTCTGGTAGGAATTGAACCTACGGCCCTGCGATTCCGGGTAGATACATGAACTTACGGTTACAGCTCAACAGCTGGCCTCTGTAGCTCAGTTGGTTAGAGCGCTGTACCGGAATCGCAGGGCCGTAGGTTCAATTCCTACCAGAGGACCTTGTGCTGCATTTTTCGCAGTCGTTCCTGGTCAGGTCTTAAAATGTATATAATCACTTGGATTACAAACCCTAACATTCTAATAAGAATATCTTCTTCATGCCAAACCTGCCCTCATGGTCTCCCATAACACAAATAAAAGGGAAAACACAGTTTGCCTAAATTAACATGTGTAAAAACGTACTTAATAGCGAGCTTAAAGGCCCAGTCACACTACACAACGATACGATAAATTGTAAACACGCGATAATTGGCAAAAAAATTGTGTTAGTGTTCACACCACAATGAAAATGATAAAAATTTCGTTGAACAATAACCATTTTAAAATCGCTCACCCTCACCTGAGTGAGATTTTCAAAACAATGAAAAGACAATGGAACAATCTGATCACTGGATCATGACTGGATGGCATGGAGAACAGTGAGATTTTCAAAACAATGAAAAGACAATGGAACATTCTGATCACTGGATCATGACTGGATGGCATGGAGAACAGTGGGATTTTCAAAACAGTGAAAAGACAATGGAACATTCTGATCACTGGATCATGACTGGATGGCATGGAGAACAGTGAGATTTTCAAAACAATGAAAAGACAATGGAACATTCTGATCACTGGATCATGGGATTTTCAAAACAATGAAAAGACAATGGAACATTCTGATCACTGGATCATGACTGGATGGCATGGAAGCAGCGAGATTTTCAAAACAATGAAAAGACAATGGAACATTCTGATCACTGGATCATGACTGGATGGCATGGAAAACAGTGGGATTTTCAAAACAATGAAAAGACAATGAAACATTTGGATCACTGGATCATGACTGGATGACACTAGTGTCATGCTATGTTATAACTATTATCAACAACAGTCTATCAACACACTGTCGTATTAGACAATCTTTGAAAACTTTAATAACTTTAAATAAATCTTGTGTGGTCAAGGGTCGACATATCCAACACTGATCTTTAAATATTACTGGACTATTCTGTGTCTAGCCTGGTCTTCTTAGCCTGAGCACAGACCTTCGTTGCACAGACCTTCGTTTTGCATGCGGATGGTCTTCTCATTTGACGCAGACATTGGCAACTGATCTCAAATAGTCTGGATCTAACTTGTCTTTTGGGAGATAACGCTAAACAATATATTGTTAATCCAGTAATATTTAACAGATCAGTGTAGGACAAGCAGGATGTATAGATTGAGAGCAATGATTTTATGAAATAAATACATATGTACATAGACACAATACTTACAGGAGAGAGTTTTTGAGAGAAAATAAAGCCAAATGTTCCTTGGTAGTAAGGGCACAATATACTACACAGAAGTAGCCTAAACAGAAGTAGTCCCCCCCTGGAAATATCTATGACTTTCTCCCACACAGCGTCATTTTGGATATTTCCAGGGGCGGGGGGACTACTTCTGTTTAGGGTACTTGCTGAGTGACGAATCATGACGAATAGCGCTTACGCAAAAAACCAATGGAGATTGGCTTCTGTGTAGTATTCTGTACTTACGCTGTGTTGACACTAGAGACTGAAATTCACCTGAGACTTACATGCACAAGAGAAGTACCTAACTGGGCCCCAACGCGGTGTGTTTACACTAGATGCCCGGCTAAAGCCCCGAGACCAATTGAATGGACCTATTCCCTATAAATGAACAAAATTTTGATCTAGACAAGTTTAGACAAATATTATTCAGTTATTTTGTATTATACATTATTCAGTTATTTTGTATTACGCACGGGAAATTGATACCTTTTTTCAGAAAGCGGTATCAATTTCCCGTGCGTATTACAAAATAACTGAATAACGGCAAACTTCGCAGGGCTATATTATCCGCATTTTACAAGATTTCGCAACGAAACTTCGGAATATTACTAATTTTGCGATGCTCTTTCAAGCTGTGATGAAATATTTGTCTAGACTTATCTAGATCAAAATTTTGTTCATTAGGGAATTGGTCCATTAGACCCTTACATACGCGGAACATATAACGCTGACATCAAAGGCTCCAATTTTACTTCTGTTATCATGAAAATTGGCCTCGAACCACGTCTTGGGTCAGTGAAAATGTATTTACACTGGAGTCCTGACCTGAGACTTACCTAAGACTATGTTTTCAGGATACCTCTGATGCTTGGCCTGAAAGTCTTAGGTCGGTCCTAGGCATAGACATCTTATATACAATTCAAAATTTGAAGCCGTGATTGCAGACTCAAGTCGTTCCCATGAAATGAGAAGACTCGTATGTTTTCTATTTCTTAAACAGGGAACTTAAACATTAATCTGACACTGCAATCGAGCAACGAAAAATTCGTTGGCTCGAGCGGGATTTGAACTCGCATCATTCTCTAAGACAAGCGTTAAGTCGTCACGAAAATATTTCGTGCACTTAAATTGGATAAGACTCGCTACCAATCCCTGTTGACTCGATAGCTCAATAGGTAGAGCGGCGGTTTAGATACCCGAAGATGCGAGTTCAAATCCCGCTCGAGCCAACGAATTTTTCGTTGCTCGATTGCAGTGTCAGATTAATATGAAACTAGTTTTTAAACATTAAGTTAACCCTATTCCAAATACGTTTTTAAAGTATTCAAATGATGAAAGCTATTGTTGTTTTTAAGCGTTTATTAGCAAGTGGGAACGACCAACATGGCCGCCATATATTCAAATGGGGGTAACCGCTGGAATATTCTTGCCTTCAATTTTACTAAAAGAGATGCGCTATCTAGTGTATATAAGATATCTATGGTCATAGGTCAGTCTTACGTCACTCCTAGTGCGTTTACGCTGCAAGACTAATCGTTTTAGGTCGGTCCTAGGTAAGGTATATATCTCTAGTGTAAACACTGCTTTATTAAGAGCAAGAAAATTAAACCATAATGTTATTTTCTCACTCTGGTAACTTGCGGTTGAGACCAGCATCTGCTGCACCGATAGTGCTTAGTGAAAAAAAACAAAATATCAATAATTCCACCGGCTGAGATAACTGTACTGGCAAACAAAACGTTCAATAGTTTGATTAAATAAATAATACTGCCCTATTTCTCTTGCGAACGTCAAAAGGTCATCTCTTCGGGACATTGTCCTCTTGCCGCGGTCTCGTCATTTCGTGAAGACAAGCTGCAATGGCGCCGTTTGATTCCAGCTTTGAACACATTATCTGCGTGAACGATGTCTCGAAACGTTTTAATTTTCTACAAAATGGAAACAAACGATATTTTCAACACAACTAAATTATTGAGTTTATGTATACTGAATAGTTTTGTCAGTTTTGAACTGTTCTTCTTAAAAGTCCAGTAAAGATCGTCTCTTATTGATCCAGTGTTACTGCAGCAAAAAACCTAAACTAAACTAACTTTACATCAGATAGCTCGATCAGTTTTAAACTGTTCTTCTTAGAGGAGTAAGGTTCATTCCTACCTCCTGCCAGACGGCGAGTATTTGGCGATGTTTCTTAAAACGAGAGCCGCCGTTAGTCGAATGGATTTTGTTAATGGCGACTCCTGTTCCGTCTACAAGAAAAAGAAAACTAAGCATTACTACAGGAGGAAACCTAAACTAAACTAACTTTATTTATACTGGATAGCTCTATCAGTTCTAAACTGTTCTTCCTAGAGGTCCAGTAAGGATCATCTCTTATTGATCCAGTGTTACTACAGGAGGAAACCCAAACTAAACTAACTTTATTTATACTGGATAGCTCTATCAGTTCTAAACTGTTCTTCCTAGAGGTCCAGTAAGAGTCATCTCTTATTTATCCAGTGTTACCACAGGAGGAAACCTAAACTAAACTAACTTTATTTATACTGGATAGCTCTATCAGTTCTAAACTGTTCTTCCTGGAGGTCCAGTAAGAGTCATCTCTTATTGATCCAGTGTTACCACAGGAGGAAACCAAACTAAACAAACTTTATTTATACTGGATAGCTCTATCAGTTCTAAACTGTTCTTCCTAGAGGTCCAGTAAGTGTCATCTCTTATTGATTCAGTGTTACTACAGGAGGAAACCTAAACTACATAGAAACCAACCTGTAATAATTGTTCCTTTAAATTCAGCAATAATGGATTAACGGATGGATGTGGCGGGAATACAGGACGTCCGTGCGCTGGAGCTGTAGTTGGCTGCGCACCGGTTGGCGGAGGAATGAGACCTACAGGCGGTGACGCTTTCTGTGGTTTGGGAACGAGGTTTGGATCTTTAGCCTGAGTTGGAGTCAAATGTCGTTGCTGTAGTTAAAATAAAAATACGAAATATGAAAACTTGCAATGCTGAAGAAGCGTATACGAGCGTTTACAAACCTAAACTAAACTAACTTTATTTATACTGGATAGCTTTATCAGTTCTAAACTGTTCTTCCTATAGGTCCAGTAAGGATCATCTCTTATTGATCCAGTATCACTACAGGAGGAAACCTAAACTAAACTAACTTTATTTATACTGGATAGCTCTATCAGTTCTAAACTGTTCTTCCTAGAGGTTCAGTAAGGATCATGTCTTATTGATCCAGTGTTACTACAGGAGGAAACCTAAACTAAACTAACTTTATTTATACTGGATAACTTTATCAGTTCTAAACTGAGATGAAATTATATTGAGACAACTGTATATTGCAGGAATTGAACTGGAAACGAACAGAGCAGTTGTACTTACCCTCAAATGAAATAGAAGTGATGCTCTCGATCGGCGTACATGAGTACAACCTTCCCACTGACATGAAGTAAACATCTGATCCACAGGTGCGTGTGCGCTCACCGCATGATTGTACAACAGTTTCGAGTTGGCGAACGAACTGAAAACAAAAGCATCGTTTAAACCAGGGAACTTGGGAATCTAAACTATATACTAAACTAACTTTGTACTGGATAACTCCATAGTTCTGTTCAGCCTAGAGGTCCCAGTAAGGGAACAGACCCTATTAAATATAAAATCTAACAGAACTTACCAATTACAAGCAGCCCACAAACATCTATATGGCAGCACAACACTGGCAACTTGCTCCCCTCGGGGACTATCACCCGCATTTTGATCCTTAGGGGTCGTAACCCCGACCGTAATAGTATCACTTCGAGTCACCGCATTACCACCCGAGCTTTGTCCCTGTGTCGTCACTGGAGGCAAACTTCCTGGAACAACGTTCGTAGTAGGTACTCCCGGAGATTTCAATCCACTCTGATTTGCCGTAGTATTCGTCGTATTGCCATGGTTACCAATAGTAGTATTTGTCACGTGACCAAGGCTACTAGCATTCGTTACGTTACCATGGTTTCCAAGAGTAATATTCGTCGTACTGCCATGGTTACCAAGAGTAGTATTCGTCACATTACCAAGAGTAGTATTCGTCACATTACCATGGTTACCAAGATTGGCAGTATTCGCCATATTACCATGGGGGTTATTAGGTTTGGTATGTAGCATTTTCTCAGAGTTCGTGCTCAGGTCAGCTTTTAATTCATAATCTTTTACATGCTCAGGTAAAATGTCTAACCGCACCCCATTTACAGCAATGGGTAACTTTGGTGAGGTCACCACCAATGGTTTAGGCTGTGCCCTCACTAGCTCGTCCCAAGCCATCGGACCTTTCTGCTCCGCCGTTCCGTTCACAAGCGACGCATCTTCGGAGTGTCTTCGCTGCCTCTTCGCCACGTTCCGTAACATTTCGCTAGCGGTAAAAGGTCCATTGGTATTGATATGTAGTGCAGAATCAGGCATGTCTGCTGCTGTGATATCACTTATCATTGCCTTAGGTCGCTTTTTGCCGAGTGCCAGGCTCTCGCTGTTCATTTCCTCGCTCGGTCCCGTAGATTGTTTTCGCGGATTCTCCACGACAGAAATGACGACTTCGTGGCCTTCGGGCGCCATTTTTGTCGCACGTTCTTCTTTGCCGACATAAAGTACGCCGTTGGTTTGACCACTGGAAAAGACAAAATTACAATCAAACTTCAAAATCACTTTCCCATTGACATATATTAACATTAGAGGCATGTATATACACGTACATGGGATTTTGGGCTTAACCCTTTCAGGGCTCAAAATAACGGACGGCCAACGCACAAAAATGCCTCTTGAGCGGTCACTTTTTTACCTCAACGGTCATTTTGAACGGCCATATGTTCATGTCTTCCAATGTGATTACTGACGTCTTGAATTAAAACATGAAACTATGATGATCGAAACAAGTTTCTGATAGTTTGTTTCACTGTTAGTGTAAGCGTATCAATGACCGGTCAAAAACAGATTTTGAGCGAGCTAAAATCAAGTTGACCGGTCATTTTGACCGGGGACCTATCTCCGGTTATTTTGAGCTCTGCCCTTAGCCTATGGAGGTAGCATCATGGCCAAATAATTTCTGAAACCTGCAAGAGAGTGTTGATGGGTTATATCGTGAGTCGTGATTCACTCATTTTCGGTTACCGTCAGTCGTGAAAACACTAAAAATTTAGCGTGAATCGTGAGGGGAAAAATAATACTGTTTATCGTTTCAGAACACTTTTCAAAGATTTACCGTTAAAGTGGAAGTCAAGTCCGTTCTGCGCATCGGTTCTGCTCATAACAATGTGAGGACTCTCTAATGTAAACATTGCCCAAATTTCGAATGTTTCGAATTTTTCTGAACATAAACTCTATTTCATATTCATTTTGAAGCATAGCGATCCAAAATGGTGTTAGATATTCAGACGGTACATCATATTTTAAAAAAAATACAGCAGTTCAAAATGTAAACAAACCATTTGTTTACATATGGACTTGACTTCCTCTTTAAAATACCAAAATGTTACAATGACTGGAATGAATTGCCCCAAGAAATTCGTGAAGCAAAAGACCTTCAAACTTTTAAAGTCTACTTAAATAGCTTTATTGATACCTAGTTTTAATTATCCTTATATATTTAGCCTAGTTTCTAAATAGCATTACTATACTTATATTTAATTAACACTGTAAAGTTTTTTGTAGTTTAGCAGGACCCTACTGAAAAACACATTATTGTGACGTAGGCTTCCTGATTAAAAATTGCTTGAATTGAATTGCTTGAATTGAATATTGTTACCGTTAAAGGGGCAATGTCACCGATTTTTTACCTAAAATGCCTTTTATTCAAAAACTCAACTACAAAGTTAAAAATAAACATTGTAAATGGATTAAGTTATGATATATGAGTCATATTAAACAACTTTGAACTTCCACGCAACATGTAACTGAGATTTTCATAAAAATTGACTAAAACTTGAAAAAGTGTCTGCCAACAATTAATCAAGATGCAATTTACAATCCATCTCAATCCTGGCGTAATCTTGCCCATCCAGACTTCTGTCCATGTTTTTTGTGTCTGTTCTTGCTTTATTTTGTGCTTACACTCATTCTTTTTCAGTTTTGGGCAACATTTGCGAGGGTTGAATTTGCGGTAACATTGCCCCTTTAAAATACCAAAACTTTTACCGTTTAGTGATTCTCAGACCCCCCCCCCCCATCTAAACCCTCCCCTGCATGAGAAAGCTATAGAAAGAATCTTCTCACCCGTTCACAGCAGGCAATTTTGCTGGCGAGGTATTCACAACTGCAGCTTGACATTTCAACTTCACCTCCACCGTGCCATCATTGACGAGCAAAGTTTTCTTCACCACACTTGGTAATTTCTGAGAACTCACAGACGCCTTATTCTGAGAAACTTTCGTCAAAGCAGACTGATCAGTATTCTTAGGCTGGCCCACATCACATTTGTCTGACGAGTTCGCTGGCTCACATGACCCAAGAAGCCTATCTCCGTTTGCCGTACCCGCAACACCCACAACCACGTCAGGCATTCGGGATTTAGGGAGGCCTTCAGTTTTAGGTGATGACGTCACAACCTGACCCGCTTTACCCGCAACCAAATCAGGCAAACGGGCATCAACAGATATCTGCCTAGGACTTGATGATGTCATAGTTGGAGCCGAAGAGGAAACCAAGTTTGAGAAACTTGGAAGCGGATGTCTGGTCCCTACTAAGCTTCCCAGAAATTCCGATGCCGACATGCCGCTCGGTTGAGCAACTGGACCCGAGTTTGCTGGGGGTCTTATCGGTAATTGTATACTACTCGGTTGAGGACTGGGCCTCGCATTAGGAAATATTACGTCATGCCTTTGGCCGGGTAGCGAAGGAGATTGGGGACGAATTGATATGTTTGTTGCCAGTCCTTCAGTTCTCATTGGCGGGGTAGGTGTGCTAGGCACGTGACTGGTATCCATGGCCATCGGCGGCGAGGTTGTTCTTGACTGACGTAGCTGAGGTGGTGTCCCCCCCTGCGGCACACGCGCTCCATGATGGATGGAAGTTTGCATAAAGTATTGTCCAGGGGGGAGCTTCCGTCGCAGTCCAACCACGCCAAAAAGCTGTTGATTTGCTGCGGTCAGTTTCACGATCTGTATGTTGGGGTGGGCAGACCTTGGTAAAATATATGAAAGAAAATATATGAAAGAAATGAAGAATCACAATGACTGACACAAGTTTTATAACTATAGTGAAGTATGAGATGTTTAGTATCACGATCTGTATGTTGGGGTGGGCAGACCTGGGTAAAATATATGAAAGAAATGAAGAATCACAATGACTGGCACAAGTTTTATAACTATAGTGAAGTATGAGATGTCTAGTATCAATGTACAGGACCTACTTTATAAGTTTATAAAATGAAGGAACATTGAGTACGTTTCTCGTCGCTTTGCCACACGAGGTGACGTAATCAGCGTAAAGGTCTCGCTGGAGCACCGTGCTTGACATATCAAACTCGTACACGTTGCGAAGCCTAAAAAAATGTTGAAATACTGGGTGAGTGCCTTTCAACATCAGAGGTTTCATTCCTGGTACATACAGTAACAGTTGTCTCATTACGATTTTGCTTTAGACGGAACCTGATAGAGCTATCCAGTATAAATAATGTTAGTTTAGTTTAGGTTTCCCCCTGTAGTAACACTGGATCAATAAGAGATGATCTTTACTGGACCTCTAGGGAGAACAGTTTAGAACTGATAGATCTACCCAGTATAAATAAAGTTAGTTTAGTTTCCTCCTGTAGTAACACTGGATTAATATAAGATAATCCTTACTGTTACTGGACCTCTGGATAAAACAATTTAGAATCGATAGAGCTATCCAGTAAAAGTACGTTCAACAGGTTCTAACTTACCAATGTCGTGCAGTGGCTTCAGACTCAGCATCTGACTTCTGTCTTGGATCTGGACTGTTTGCCAACAGCTTGTTGGATGATTGCTTATTACCGGATACATTTGGAACTGTGTGAGGGAGAAATTTATATACACGTTAATATTAAAGCAGAGACTTGGGGTGCGTATTTAGTTGCCAACATACTAATTTAGAGAGCAAGCGGCGTTGTCGACAACACGTACGCCTAACGAAAGTTCATCGAGTTGTTATGGATGGCGAGTGATGGTGAAAGCCGTTCATGTTTGAAATCGCGAACGGGAAACTACACTGGCTCCCGTTCTTCATTTCAAACAAGAACTGCTGACGTCATTTGTAACGGCTTTACTTCCTTCCGGTTGGCGTGCGAGTTGTCAAAAACGTTGCATTAGGTTCGCTATTCCCAGGTGCCCCTCTGTTGCCGCCAATTTCAATATCGTTGTGGCAATTATGTAGTATTGGTGTAATGTACTCAGGTGAATAAGATGCTTGTGTGATGTTACTCTGAGTGTATATCCACACCGGGCAGGCTTGATCAGTTGGCAGAGCATTGGGCTAGTATTCCAAAGGTCGTAGGTTCGAATCCCATTGTGGCCAGGCATATTTTTCAAGCCTGCCCGGTGTGGATATACACTCAGAGTAACATCACAAGCATCCTATTCACCTGAGTACATTACACCAACACAGCAATTATCATGATTACTAGATTAGATTGATATCAAAGAAACTAGACTCAGTTCCGAAATATCACTTACTCGAACCGACCTGACCGCGTAGCTCAGTTGGCAGAGCATTGTGCTAGTATTCCAAAGGTCGTAGGTTCGAATCCCACCGTGGCCAGGCATATTTTTCAAGCCTGCCCGGTGTGGATATACACTTAGAGTAACATCACACAAGCAAATTATGTAGTAGTATGCCTACCCATAGCTACTCCATGATGGTTATCGATAATCTTCACATCAGCCAACATCTCCGCCCCAAATGACTCCACGCAAAGATGAAGAATAGAGACCAGCATTTCTAGAAAGTTTAGTAAATTTTCAAAATATCATATCATGCAATTACAATCACCTATCGATTACTTTCTTTGGTTTCTGAATAGAACAGCATGAGCTCCACCTTTGAATTTACTATACGAGTAAATTCTTAAACACGTCCGAATTTATCATTATGATAAATTCGCGGCACATTTTGAATTTATCATAATGATAAATTCGCGGCATCAACCCCCTAACACTAACCCTATCCCCAACCCTAGCCTAACCAGTAACCCTAACCCTAACTTTTTAAACTTTTTTGAAAATCTAACTTTTTAAACTTTTTAAAAACTTTTTTTCTGAAAATTTGCGCACCCCCGCGCGACCGGCCTCCCCTTTAGTGACATTACATTTATAGCAAAAAGTCTTGTCTAATGCTTGTGGCTTTATGATTAGCTCTATTATAAAGTGTTCAACCCCATCAAAATTTCGCTTCACCCCTCCTATTTTGTGTGAAAGTCTTTAACCCTAACCCCTGCCGAAGTCGCTCAGTGGTGCCGCTTGCACCCCACTAGAAATGTTTCCACCCCTCCTTTAAAAAGATATGAAAAATATGTGCTTAAAGAATCCTTAAGAATTGCTTAACATTTTGGATGTAGTTTCAACTCACCAATGCTTTTCTCGACAGCAACAACACAATCGCAGGGTACTTGACCAAGACACGTCAACTGATACAAAGTTTCAAGTGATGGAATCAACAGCTTAAATTTAGATGAAAAATGTTCATTATGAAAACATGGACTAACAGTGACTGGTACGAATTGCTGGGTTTCTTTGAACTACAGAACTACTCAAGTGTGTGGCATACATGTATATAACCAAAGTTTGACTGTATAACGTACAACTATCTCACAAAAGATATTACTGTCTTATAGTCACAATGCAACAGATACCCTATGCATATACGTATACAGCCAATAGACCTTTCCCCTTTATATGAGTGAAATTTTGATCTAGAGAAGTCTAGATCAAAATTTCATCACAGCTTGAAAGAGCATCACAAAATTAGTAATATTCCGAAGTTTCGTTGCGAAATGTTGTAAAATGCGGATAATATAGCCCTGCGAAGTTTGCCGTTTTTCAGTCATTTTGCATTACAAATGAGAAATTGATAATCAGATGATCAAACTTCGTCAGTATGATCGCCTACTTCATGTTAAGGTTAACCAAGGCTCTGTGCAGTGTGATCTCTAGAGAAGTGCCATGCATGAGCCTTATAACCAAAGTTCGACTGTACATAACAACGTCGCGTTAATACCTGAACATCATCCACAATAAGAACAGTGATGAGTGCTTCATAGGTTTCCACATCAAGTGCTGTACATACGAAGTCCTGATTCTCTTCTTGCAAACACACTTTCTTCAAAATATTCATGCCTGAATGAAAGAAAACTTAGAGATATAATTGTAAATTTAGTCGTATAATTCTACGTGAGTTCCACGAAGCATTATCGCGCATGGTGGTGAACCTACAGTTATCAGAGTGAGAAAATAATGTTTATTCTGGTCAGGAGCATATGTAGTCGCCTTGTATGTGGTGGCAATAGCAGTTTTGTTTTCAGTGGGAAATAGTAAATGGATTTGAGAAACGTTGTTCAATTTGTTTGTTCGTTCTAAAGTTGACTATCATGCACGTGTTGCTCTGCAGCACTTATTAAAACCACAGTTAATACAGTAGAATAGATGGTTTGGAAATTCATAAGAATAACCGTATATAATGGTTTGTTAGTGGAAACACCACGTTAATTTATTACTGCAGTAATACATTTTCGTGGTGTTTCCACAAAAAAATTATTATATGTTTTATCGCCATGCAAACATACAAAGAACTTAATAACAGTATAACTCATTGTCTATGTTAGGCCCGTTTCAGACGGCGTACTCTTCATGTGCCGAACTTAATTGTATTAGATGCGACACAAGAACGGCAGTGATTCAAACGGCGTACCAAATACAATGTTATTGACAAGGTTGGGGCGCATTCGCCAGCGAAACCTCAATAAAATTCAAAATAAATAAGTTTATTTTTAGACCAAAGTTGAATTAAGTTTGGCACATGAGTGGAGCGGCGTATGAATCAATGTCGCTCCAACGTCGCATAATGCGACAAGCTCTGCCGAACTTGTGTCGAACTTTTGCCGCTCCAAATTCTGCCGTACTTAATTGATTCATACGTCGCTCTTCTGCCGTACCTAATTCATCAATTAAGTTCGGCACATGAGAAGTACGCCGTCTGAAACGGGCTTTAGTCAATGTTTATTCATAAACATGTTCCTTCACCGTCACGTGTGTATTGTATTTTTGCCAAATTCACCAATAGCAATTTCCAATTTACCCTATTGTTCGAGTCACGGATTGGGTAACTTTCCTAAGACATTGCTATTGGTTAGTTGGGTAAAAACACAATACGCACGTGACGATGAACGACCAGATTTATGAATAAACGTTGACTAACACAGATAATGAGTTATATTGTTATTCTAATGAGTTTCTAAACCTTCTTGACGAAGGGCCTTCGCTCGAAACGTCGAGTTTCTGCTTATTTTTTAATATAACCACTCAGCACAGCATTTTCACATTGGTACTACCCACACTGGTACAGACAGTTTTAGCATCTATTCTATTAAGTTCTATGTTAAAACCTAGCAGCAATGAAACTCACTAAATCTTACAACACAGATGGAGATAAATAGACTCACCACATATTCTGTTGTGACGATCAGCATCACGAAGGTATCGAGCGATCATGAAGAAAAACAATTGAGAATTCAAGGATTCCAGTGGCTCTAGGATCATCTAGGATACAATGGATTGACTGAATTAGCAAACCACTGTAACAAACAGGGGTTGAAATGACCAGGCACCAGATTGCAAAATGCAACCACGTTTTTCAAGGTCGTCCTCGCGGTGAGAATAGGGAGCTTAAGCATGTAGGACGGCAACAAGACGACGACGGCAACCAATACAAGGAGTCAATGAAAAGTAAATAAATAATTAAAGTCCCAGGGGAGTTTCAGGCGTAGTCGTCGTCTGTTTACAACGGCAAATCACAGATTTTCACGTCTTTTATACAACGCCTGCATTTCAAGGCGTAACAAGTGCAACTTAAAATTCGATCAGTAGAACTCTTCCCAAACATAAAGCCAATGTTTTCAACTTCTTATACTGTATTAAATTCATACGAATTATAATATACGACAAGTTTTCTTTACTATCATTTATTTGAAGGAATTTGGTTTGGCCGTCATCGTCGTGTTGCCGTCCTAGATGCTTAAGCTCGCTATTAGAGACCTTAAAGATGATGTCCACTCCGTTCTGCGCATCAGTTCTGCTCATAACAAAGGGGGACCCCCAGATATAAACATTGCCCAAATTTTGCATCTTTCGAACTTTTTTGAATTGAGACGTAGAGTTTATATTCATTTACAAGCATAGCAAACCAGAAAAGTGTTAGATATTCAGTTGCATTTTAGTACGTAAGGAGTGGATACTCAGCAAATTGGTTCAGTACTAATGTCGAACTCTACTCAATAAAAAGCGACTGTTTTGATCTATTGAAGCTGTAATAAGTTCATACGATTGATAATATACATGATAAGAGTTCTTTACAATCATTATTTGGGTGAATTTGTCTTGGCCGTTGTCGTCGGTTTGCCGTCCTACATCTTAAGGTCTCTATTATATTTAGAACAGAGAGTTTCACAAATTGTCACGTATGATAATTATTACATAATTCACGAATGCAGAGATCAATTTATTGTCTTCATTGATTCAGGGATTCCTGGTAATAAAGTTGGCAACCATATCTTATTCCAAATAAATTCTAAATTTGATGGCCCTGCATGGCAAGATAGAAAGTGTACCTTATCTGCAAGGTTTGTGATTGTATCTGTGGCCAATTTCTTCAGTGAGCCAATATTACAATGCAAGCAGAACATTAGGAATCTGAAAAAATGATAAGATCAACAAGGTAAGATAACTTTTGGTCTTTACACAGAAATGTCAATTGTGTGTTTATAGACGTAGTACATACCTGATACAAACTGGATGTGATGAGAGAACGGAAGCGTTCATTCTGTCAAATGAGAAATTGTGCAATATGGTGCAGACCTAAAATAGGGAGAACAGTTTAGAGCTGATAGAGCTATCCAGTATAAATAAAGTTAGTTTAGTTTAGGTTTCCTCCTGTAGTAACACTGGATCAATAAGAGATGATCCTTACTGGACCTCCAGGGAGAACAGTTTAGAACTGATAGAACTACCTAGTATAAAATTAATAAAGTTAGTTTTGTTCAGGTTTCCTCCTGTAGTAACACTGGATCAATAAGAGATGATCCTTACTGGACCTCTAGGAAGAGCACTTTAGAACTGATAGAACTATCCAGTATAAATACTGTAAAGTTAGTTTAGTTTAGGTTTCCTCCTGTAGTAACACTGGATCAATAAGAGATGATCCTTACTGGACATCTAGGAAGAACAGTTTAGAACTGATAGAGCTATCCAGTATAAATACTGTAAAGTTAGTTTAGTTTAGGTTTCCTCCTGTAGTAACACTGGATCAATAAGAGATTAGCCTTACTGGACCTCTAGGGAGATTTTTTACCTGTAGCACTCTTTGCAGTTCGAAGTCTTTATACTGTGTGCTAGTTGCATCAAGGTTGAATAAGAAATCTGTATCATGTTCTTCTATTGTCTTATCAAATTTAGGCAACAGTTGTTTAATCTCTTCACAGTTCAACACTCGCTGCCAAAACTAACAAAACGAAATTGACAGTCACATCAAGTTAATAGGTGTCATCAGGGAGCATAAAACACCAGTGTTCAGTGATATACCTTCAAAAAATCTTTTTCAGAATTCTTATACCACTCTTTATATAGATCACTTGAGCTGCATGAATCTGAAATGGCAAAGTACAGCATTGCTATGCATGTCTGCATGAACTTTTAAACATTTTTCATTAAATTAAATGGACCATTATAGACTAAATAATATAAACTAAATTTTGATCTAGACAAAAATTTCATCAAAGCTTGAAAGAGCATCACAAAATTAGTAATATTCCTAAGTTTCGTTGCGAAATGTTGTAAAATGCAGATAATATAGCCTTGCGAAATTTGCAATTTTCAGTCATTTTGTATTACAAACGGGAAATTGATGTCCCAACACCCGATTGGGCTGTCAATTTCCCGCGCGTAATACAAAATGACTGAAAAACGGCAAACTTCGCAAGGCTATATTATCCGCATTTTACAACATTTCGCAACGAAACTTTGGAATATTACTAATTTTGTGATGCTCTTTCAAGCTGTGATGAAATTTTTGTCTACATCAAAATTTAGTCTATAATGCAAATGGTCCATTGTACCTTCTTCAAACACACCCACATGTGCTAATATCATATCAATGACTGCTGGTGCCTGCAAAAGAGAAAACAAACATTAATTAAACCAACACACCTGAGGCAAATGTTCTGAAAAGATTAAGCACATTAAACAAAAGTTAAAAAACTCATTAATAATTCAGGAGGAAAACACAAAGAAAAATCATAAGCGTGTCGTATCTTTATATGTGATAAAAAATCATGTTAATTTACATAAACTTTAGCTTTGATTTTCTCGGTTTAGACAAAGTTTATTTTAAAAATTACTTCGTCAATGAACTCATATAAGATGAGTCATTTTTTAACTTCTACTTAATGACAATAAATCAAGCTTGTGGTTTTTGAGATACCTTAGTTTTTGGGGTACATATACCTGTACTTTGTTATTTTACTCTGTCTAACACCAGACAATTTTGCTTGTCAAGGCAAGAGAGCTGGCACTCAAAGGATTCAAAAACCAATCTACTTGTGTATGTGTGTTTTGGGATTCTTTTTTGGGGGATGTTTTTTTCTGTTTTTGCAACAATCGCACCTTATAAACTTCTCTAGTCATACCTTAGTAAGGTTGAAGACAGAATTATTGACATTTGACAGTAGCACGCAAATGTTGATTGCAAAGTCCACTTCGTTTGGCAGGCCCGACTGAAGAGACAGAACAAGTCTTTCAAAGTTCCGTTGAGGATCTGAAATAAGATGAGAGAACGCTTTCAATACCCATGTGCAAAGATCAATGACAAGAGAATATCAGAAAATGGGAGAGGAAAGAAAGGAAAAAGTGAACTGGGACGAACCAGTCACAGAATTACAGTCGATTTCACAAAACTTTTGCTAAAATGTTCTGAAGTTCCAAAGTTCATAATAATATGTATTCACAAACCAGTTTGTAAGCATTCAATTGGCTTCTTTCAATTCATGGACCAATCAGAGGTTTTATATTTATTTACAAACCAGTTTGTGAATTTTAATATGAACTTTTGAAATTCACATTATGAAGTTTGGAACATTTTGGCAAAAGTTCTTTGAAATTGGACTGTATGTACACATCAGATACTTGTCTAGGGGGAAGTTTTGCTAAAATGGCTCCGAGGCACTGTCTACCACATAATACTACATGTGTGGTTTTGCATGCATTACCTCTATACATCATTGGCATCTGTGGTGATCCATACCCACCAAGACTGAAGAGATTAACTCTGGATGCTGCTGTATCATCAGCATCCTCACCAAGAAAATAAAGCTTTTCATAACCTTCTAGATAGCTGCAACAAATATGATTTTGGTTTATTGATGGGACAGCAAGCTATGCAGGTATCAACCCCCATTATGAAAAATTCCCATAGGAAGTTTGGATTCCTTTAGGAATTTCTGTAGGAATAGAATTTTCTATGAGAATTCTTTTTGGGATTCCCACAGGAAATTGCATTTCCTAAAGGATTCCTATAGGAATAGCCCAAAACTCCTATAGGCATTCCTATAGGAATTTATCATAAGGAATACGTAGACATGTTTCTAGCTTGTCAAAAATCCAAAGTAACAATAAAATTAAAGTTTTATTACAGTAATTTGAAAAATGCTGTGGAAACTGCCAAAATTACCGTAGACAGCTGTTATGTTCTACGGCAATTTTTAACGCCATTGCCGTCGATTGATTTCAGGGAAATTCGAGGCCTGAAGGAGATATGTAATGGCTTGATTTGTACATGAGCATTCTGGGTGAAATTAGGCAAAGAAAAGAGTTTGCCCTTTGAAATTTTGGTGTACTCCTTGCAGTTTTGTGTCAACCTCGCTGGAACGGTAAGGGACTAGCACTGGACTAAATTTCTACCATCTTGCGCTCACTCTGTTCATACAGGCCAGGAAGGGTTAAATTCAAGGACTTTTCGAGGGCAAATATTAGGAAATATTCAAGGACTAAAGGGCTGAAAAGAAGGCGTTAGAAAGCAGTAAAAGTGACGTTCAACTATTCAGTTACGGCAACATTAATGAATTTCAAGTTACAGTTCTGGTCTTTGTAATACATGAGCAAAATCAATTCACAAAATGTCAAATTCTTAATACCAAACAATTTCAGAAAATATCCACTAGAAACAAGAACAATTTAAGGACTTTGAAGAACTTCTTTATAAACTCAAGGACTTTCAAGGCCTTGATTTTTTGTTTCCAAATTCAAGGACTTTCAAGGATTTTGAATATTTGTACGACCCCTGTCTTAGCTTCACTTCATATATATAGAGAGCTCAACAGCCTTCACTATCATCGGTCAGACAGTTGCTGCATCTTTACATGCAACAATTGTCCGACCGATAGCGATGCATGAGCCGTAATACAAAATCATGCCTGAAATTTTCTCAGTAGCTCATCTAATCTCATACCATAAACCTCCGACCACAAGCCCTGGGCTTATATACTTTCATAAGCGATTTTTGATGGGCTTATATAAGGGGAAGCTTATATA